TAAACTACCTTACCTAACCTTACGTACGTTCGTTCGTACTACCACGTTTAGTTACCGTACTACGTAAAAGAACGACAACCCAACCTACTACTATAGTAAGAATACGTAATACTACTATAACTACTACTACTAACTAACTACTCTCTCTCTCTCTCTCTCTCTCTCTCTCTCTCACTCACACACACACAATTTGCCCAAATGGAGTCCTTGAAGACACACACACTCTGGTCAGTAAAAAGAGGTATCCAAATTGAGTAATAGCGCCTAAAGAGTCTGTCCTGCATAGATTCATCTTTAAAGAAGGATATAGACATACATGTACATCGCTTTTGATATTAATGAAATTTAGTAAAAAATAAAAATAATAATTAACAGCCCCAAATGTTGGACAGTGCTAAGGTGGGTGATCCTTCCCAATGCATGACCAGTATTCATATATGTATGCACCTATTATAGGTTTGCTTGCATGAGTTATAGTAATATCAAATAAAATAGCCCGGCTTACCTTTATGGACAGGCCTAAAAACCTGCATGTCCTTTTGGGAACAGAGGTACGTGTTTTTCTTTTTCATTTTTTTTTTTCTTTTTAAGCCTTCGGGTGTTTCGGCTGCACTTCGGGGGACCATATTTGGACTCGCTCTAAAATGGGCGGAAGAAAATACAGCATTATACCTAAAATTTCGTGTGGCATTCGGTGCCTATGTGTATACACAGTCTTTTATTGCAATCCTGTGTGTGATGCATGCATGTATGTAATCATGTAATGTACCTACAGATATATGTATATATGCATCTATCTTATGCATTAGACATGAAAATACCTGTGGGCGAGTCCCCTGGACCATGCAAATATGGAGGCAATGCTATTCGTGCTTGTTTCTCCACCCTTCTGATGGACACGATAGTGGCGAGTAACTGTGCCATGTGCAGCTTCGGCTTCAATGGTCTTCCCATCAGGGCACACCTGAAATTCCACAGATATTACTAGACATAATCATAGTGCAAAAAAAGAATCAGGATACTATAGCATAATCCAAGGGAATATGGTATATGGTACTTCAAGGTATATGGTATTAATCTCCAGAATCTATCGCTAAAAATGGACCTTTGGAGTACCAATACCATAGAATAGCATCCATGACCAGCATCAATTAAATATTTTGAAAAAATATGGCGCTATAAAAAACTAAGTAGAAAAAATACACCACACTAAATAAAATTAGAATATAGGCGGTTAGAATTATATGAAGCAAGGCATCATCTTTTATGGATTCGGGTTCGCAGTTGGTCAATGCACAACTACTTAAAGAACTAAGAGTAGTCATCTTTAGTCTTTAGTACCAATCAATTGAATAACTGCTAAGAGAGGCTTTATTCTAGGCTGCTTGAATTTATTTCTATATGTTAGGCAATCCACTGAGTATGTACATTGATGGAAATAAATTCTGACTCGAACAGTAAACGCAGACTGTTCATTTGATGGATGATATGATCTAGGGTTATAAGAGTTCAATTTTTCTATTACGAAATTGATTGCAATAAAAATTGGATAATATTTTAAAAACATTTTGGTAATAAAACTCCCCTACACAGCTAGGTATTTTATCAGCTCGCACTATGCTCTAGTTAAGTATTTTTGTCAGCTCGCACTATTTCGAATTATGCAGTATTCTGTGTGTGTGCATTGATGGAAGAAATTAAATTTTTTTTTTTTTGAGAAAGTTATTGATGGAAGAAATTAATTCTGAGTCAAACAGTAAAATACAGACCGTACATTTGATGGATGATGAGATCTAGAGTTATAGGAGTTCAGTCCTTTTCATGAAATTGATCAATGATCACAATGTTAATTGGACATGTTTTGAAAAAGTGTAGGTAATAAAAATTCCCCTTGCTAGATGTTTTGTCTGCTTGCACTATGCGCTAGCTATAGGCTGCTTCATCTGTAGTATCTTTTGTCTTAAAATGATAATAAGTTAATAATTGTCTATTATTAAAGAAACACTTATCTTCCCACTCGAAGTCTTTGAAAATGGATACATCTCTACCACCAGTTGCAATAATTAGGAAATGCCCTCTCAAACAGAAAAAACTAACTCTCCTTCAACATTGCTTACACAAACTTCAACTTATTTGCCACCACAGTCATCATAAACCCCAGAAGAAGTTGATCTCCCCCATCCCCCACCCCAAACCCAATAAAAAAAACATAAATAAATATCAACTGCTGTGACACCCAGCTATCCGCTGAAACCATTCACTAATGACAACATCCTTGAAGTCTGGTCCATGGAAAGATCAAGAATCATCAATTTATATCTCTTGTTTTATTTTCATCATTCAAGAGGAGGCCAGGAACTCCCATGAAAGTTGCCTTCAAAACTTACTTTGACGGATAATTGTATATATATAGCTCTTGTAGCAGAAGTTTGTACTTCAACATTGCATTAACCCATAACAGCTATCAATGGTTGTGTATAGGGATTGTCCTTGTGTTAAAACTTATAAAATATTAGTAAAATTTTCATACATAATAACTAACAATAAATTGTAATTACCATAATATGGGTTTCTTCCCCTTGATTATTTATCTTGAAACCTGGCTCCTCTGAAGCATGTTTCTTTTAACTGAATGCATACTTTGCTGCCCTGTGAAATTCCAGACTGGTTCCTAAACAAAGGGCACATCAAAATACTTTTAACAGCTATACTTCAGACAACTAAAACTGCCAGATGTGTGGTCCTGATTGGCTGACGTTCTGACTCTCCCCCTCAACCATCTAGACCTTAAATTGTGTCTTCTGCTACGTAATTCTCTATGTTATTGACATCTTTGCATTTTTTGCTCATGTTCTGTCCTTTGATTTCTTTTCTTTTTTGTTTCTTTTAAATAAGTTCACAGGACAACAGTCTTATGCAGTAGCCCTACGTATACCACAGAAGACATCATATAAGAGAAACCATAAACAACACATCATGAATCGGTAGTGCACCCTACTGTAAACATTGAAAAAAAAATCACATAATTAAAAATAATAGAGCTCTATATTCTCACACAACAACAAAGATAAGCATATGCATATTACAATTACATTCTTCAAACATACCAGAACAGATGTCATCATTCCGAGTGACCCAAACCCTGTAAATAAGAAAAGCATTTGGTATCCTTTAATAAATGAATCTTTAATATAAAAAGAAAGTACATAGTTAAATCCTGAGAATATTAAGCCCAATAGTAACCATGGAAAGTTATAACATACAGCTAGAGTATCCAGCCTGAGAATATTAGGCCTAATGGTAACCATGGGAAGTTATAACATATACAGCTAGAGTATCCAGCAGCTATTATCAGCTGTGTAGCACAGCATAAATAGGCTGTGTAGGGAATAATCTCCTAAGAAAATATTCATATATTTTTGGAAAGGCACTACTTGCAGACAACAGAATAGAACAAATAAATATCAACACACCTTGAGCTAAGAAATCACTCTGAACATCACCATCATAATTCTTGCAGGCCCATACATAACCACCTTCGCTCTTGAGAGCATAAGCTACCATATCGTCAATAAGTCTATGTTCATACCTTTTTATATTCATTAACAAGCAGGTTAGATCCAAGAAAACATAAGAACTCTCTCTCTCCTCTCCCACCCCCCCCTTCTTTCTGACCATGTATGTGTGTGAGAATATATTATAATATATTGGAGAGAGAGCCTACCAGATCCCTGCAGCCTCAAACTTAGACTTCCATTGTGATTCATACACCTCCTGAAAGATATCCTTGAACCTGATATAATAATTTCCACCCCAAAAGTTAGACAAATAGCAAAGCACAAGAGAGATCATTTTCATGAAATAAGATGGCAGTACTCATTCTCCCAATTCTCTTTTTCTTCTTAATAACATCTACAGATACAATTTAGATGACTTCATTAGGTTTTGTCAAAATATATTGCAAACTGTAATCTGGGGCAAAATATCCAACCTAACTGAGCTAGAGAATCGAATGGTAACAAACTATTCAGTCACTAAACAAGATCATACCTCCCATCATATTTCTTTAAGATCGTGTTCTTGGTACTGAGATAGAGTGGCCACTTCTTCTCATATGCCACAGTCATTGAGGAATCCGCAAAGGCACCAATAGACTGCCATTGAAGGAATCAAATGAATTTAAAGCTACAGATAAAGAAAGCCTTTCTGTTTCCATTTTTTTTGATAGATTAGAAAGCACAATTTTAGATAAAGATCCATATGAGGAATAAAAGAGAGAAGAATAAGAACCTCATCTGTGTTGTACATGGACAAAGCAACTCCACCAGCCCCTTTGAAGTCAAACACCTCTAATTCAGTCTTTTCTCCCTCACCATGTGGAACTGCAAACATTATCAGACAATAGAAAATCAGACATGTCGTTCCAAGGTGGATACACAGAAAATAGAAACACAATAATATTATTTGATACTTACCATAAACCAATTTCAACTTTCCAGGGCCTCTTATCACTGTATCAGTTGCTTTGTATTGGTCACCAAAAGCATGCCTTCCAATGCATATAGGCTTTGTCCATCCTGCTTCCAATAACCATGAGTAAGGTAAGCATAAACTATAGTCAAACTTTAAATGTTGGATCACTGATTCAAAATATATTATACCTGGAACAAGACGAGGGATGTTCTTGCACATAATGGGCTCTCTAAAGACAGTACCTGAATTAACAATTAGATATTTCACTCAGCAAGCAACCCAAAAGAATGCAATGAATTTTACTATAACCCAACATGAGAAAAAATATTTGTTGGGATATTACAACAAGGAAAAAAAATAACATTATAAATTAATTATTTACCATTTAATATGTTCCTAATTGTGCCATTAGGACTCCTCCACATGGCTTTTAAGCCAAATTCCTTAACACGAGCTTCATCTATAATTTAGACATGCCACAAATGATCACAATCCAAACACATCCTGCTCTCTGCATCTCTATATATTGAATAAAATATCCAAAAGCATATATATTTAGGGAGCACAGCATGCAACAATTAAAATTAAACAAGAAACTAAGAAATAACATCGTGGACAGATGTTCAAACTTAATAGAGAAGTGAAATATCAAAATAGCAAGGCACACCTGGAGTTATAGTTGCACATTTGATGGCCACATTATACCTGCAAAGGAGTCAAGTCAAACTCAGCATAACATACATGCCTATTTTAAATTTAACTTCTAAAGTTTATAGATTATCACCAGAATACAAATTGCAATACCACGTAATGGAAAAAAAAAAATCAAAATCAAGCATCCTTGCCGTATAAAAGATAAGCAACAGAATTTTATTCAGAACTTTGACACAACTTCATGAGCTAAATATCTTGGAGTCCACACAGAAAAAGCAGGGAAAGCATTATGTCATACTTTAGGGTTGCTTCAGCACTTTCAACTGTGATTCGATCATCAGTAGCATCACGGCTCATAAGATCCAAATCAAAATACTTGATATCCAATTCAAGGAATGGGAAAATAAGCTGCAAGATACAAGAAAAACAAATTCAGTTTTTCATCGGTTGAATAAAACTGAGTTCAATTCCTAAACATGCATTTAAAAACACAGGTCCTCTTAAGAAAAAAGAAAGGTAAATGGTGCATATTATATACCTTGTCCTTTATCATTTGCCAGATAATTCGGGTCATCTCATCACCTACATCAAGTCAATCATGAAAGTTAAACAACAAACCAGTAAATTATCATAATTAAAGACTATGAATTATTTCTGCTAGATTCAGCCAAGAGAATGGAATTTTTTGGGTGTGTACTGATCATAAATAAATAAATATATATAGACACACACATTAAACAGTCCCTAAAACCAAGACAGATTCACAAAATGAAAACTGCAAACTACCCTCTTCAATTAAAGAGAACTTCTACTATGAAATTACATAAAAGTAACATATAAGATTTACTGCTTAATTTTATTTTATTTTATTTCACGCTGGGAATGATGATTTATTGTATATAGTCATAGAAAACGAACAATTATATCATTGCAGTAAAAAAGCCTAACATCAAATAGTTTTTGGATTATAATGAGTACATTTATTAATTGTTTGCAAAGATGTGGGTCAGTGTCATATTGAGTGCTAATGAAATTTTCACACACATCAGGGGTGTATTAGTCACATGGTCTCAAATAAGCTCCAAATTGATTGGTTTATTTGTTTATTTATTTAGATAATTCTTAATTGTCCACTTTATTGATTCAGGTAGGAATCAATCAACCTACATGTGACCAAATCATTGCGGGTGGTCCTTTGCACTGAAATCAGCTATGTTTTTTGCATAATTCATTCTTTAAAAAAAAAGATAACTCAAATAATAAATTATTATCTTTTGATAATTAACTTATAAGGTAAATGAATTGTCTTCCTTTGATAATTAACTCAAGTAATTATTATCTTTGGATAATTACTTCCTTTTACAAACTTATATGCTAAATGAATTGAAAATTTTTCAAACAAATATTTATTTTTTACTCCCTTTTACGAACTTATATCATAATTAAAAAAATTATACCTTTAACCCATTCCATTGAAGAAAGTAACTCTAACGAATTAATCAAATTGCTAAAAAATTAAAAATTTTGTGTAAAATTTCCCCACCCCACTGTTAATCACTACAACCAAAAAAATACAACTTTATTTTGTTATTCTAAAAATTTATTTAAAAAAGGAAGTTTTCGTGATCTGTGATACTTACAGAGTGAATCGTCACATTGAAAAAGAACTAAATCAGATATAAGTATTGACTTAAAAGACTTGCAAATATCAACCAATTAAAATTTATATCATCAATAAAAAAAATATAAATCTTTATTATCTCAGTGTCCTGAAGAGTCAAAATAAACAGCTAAAAGTCTAAAACTGTTATTTATAGAAAAAATTGCTCAGATCGCAAACATATGTTCAATGGTAAATCAAATAAAGGGAAAAATAAATTAATATCCAGTTTACATGATAAAATATAAATAAAACCATTGGAGAAGTTAAAAAACGATAGCTTTCAAAAAAAAATCTCAAAAATGATGATAAAAGATTCAAACCATTTGAAACAAAACAAAAATATTCAAAATATTGTAACAGTAAACTTCACTCAAAAAAAAAAAATTTCAAAATATTGGAAGAAAATATTTGCAATATGAGATCTGAAACCGAAAAGAACAATGAGGAAATGATTTAAAGAAAAAGGAAATTTGGAGTTTCCCAAAAGAAATAATAAAAGAAAAAATACAGTTTTTTTCGTACCGTCCATTTCAACGATTGGATTCTGGACATGGATCTTCTCGAAAGCCATGGCTTCGGAAAAAGGAGAGAGAAAGCGGGTTAGAGAGAGAAAGTTCTTCGATATTCTAAGCTCTCTCTCTCTCGTATTTCACAGTTGGAGGCGAGTAGAGACAGAGACAGAGACGGAAACGTAGAGTTGGCTTCCATAAATAGAGAGATTAACACGTCAATTGACGAAAATACCATTGCAATATGAGCGTAATATCCATAAATCTCTCGACTGTTTGACGAAAATGCCACCAAACTTTGCATAGAGTTACCTAAAGGTACTTGACTTTTTTGTAGGTCACTCAATGCCTCTTCTCTAAATAGGATGAGAACTTTCTAAAATCATATGTTATACCCAATGGTTTAAAAAGCGGAGCGGTGACCAGGGTTGGGCACCTGAAAAATCGATCTGAATCGGTGAATCAGAGATTTAAATAAAAAATTGGATGAATCAGTCAGAATAAAGTTTCAAAAAAATTTGAAAAAATTATTAAAATTTATTATAAATATTATTTTTTAATAATTCAATAAGAAATGAGGGCACTCCATTAAGAATTTTCATTTCTTTGCATGAATATGCGAATATTAATATGTTATTTTCCTGCATGAACTACTATTTATCATTTAATTTACATCACACAAAAAGATAAACATAGAATTATCATGGAATAAGTATATCAACATACATGGACTACAATAAAGCATAATTTAATAACATACGATCTAAAAATAAAATGATAGACGACGTCGTTCTTCTTCTTGGTCACGTTGGTGTCATTGATTGAATTTGTTTGACAATTCATTGATTCGATCTAAAAACGAATCATCGATATTAACAAGCGTCTGACTATACCCAAATCCCTGAGTGTTGGTGTTCTGTTGTGTTCCCAATCCAAAATCCCCGAAGCTTGTCCATCCTTCATGCTCACCTACACTGTTGTGCTCATCCCTACACTGTTGCTGTTGGGACTCGATATGTGAATAATATGGCTGGGATAGGGTGGCCTCAGAATCATCATCGCTCTCATTTTCCCTCAGACCCCATTTCCACCCTCCCTCATTAGGTGCAATATTACCGACATCTCCGATGAATTGTGGATACGTTGGCTGGCTGCTTCCTCTATCATGTTGCTCATCACCTTCTTCAAGATCTTCCTCACCGATAGCCTCAAGGAGCGCTCTCTTGTGTAACACTGGCTCCTCTTTTTCTACTACCCATTGGTCTGCTGTGTCTGTGACAAATATTGTGCCCAAGTCTATCGGCCCATAGTCTTCAAGCTTTCTTCTTATTTGTCGCTTTCGGAGTTTTAAGTTATAATGAACGTAGACTAGTTTATGAAGTTTATCCGAAGCGAGTTGATTCCTCTTAGTAGTGTGCAACCATTGGAACGTACTCAAGTTGTGCTCACAGCCAGTAGCAAAACATATATGGGAGAGCACCTTAATTACTATCCTCTTTAGGTGAGGTGCATCAGTACCATATATCTCCCATCATTCAGCTGGATTAAAATGTAAAAAGCATTGTAAGGGCCAAAACAATTCATAAGATTAAATAAATGAATGAACAAAATATTCGCAAGGGGATAACCTGGATCCATCTTAGTTCGAGAATTCCTGGCAAGTCTAGTTCCGAAGGATCCTATAGCACCCCTATACATAGTAAGCTAAAACAAATATATTTCGTTTTAGTGCATTATTCCTCACAAATATAACAACTCAATGAAGTTCTTACCCAAACATTAAATAATACCTCTTGTATTGCTGCTACTTGGTTTCGATGGCTTCTCTCCAACCTTGCAATAATGTATTTGACCCCTTCCATAATCTTGTGGGGATGTTCAGGTGTCAAATAGAAAAATTTTGGGTTGAAGTAGTAATCTAGAAAATATGTAGATAGAAAAATGTCATTTACAATTTCATAAAAAAATGATTTAAAATGAAACATTCTAATGATATAAATATATATTTACCAGCATAATGAATTGGACGTCCAAATTTGGTATTCCACCTCATTTTTATAATCTCGATCACTTTGCTAGCAAAAATACACTTTGCCCCAATAGCTGATTTCGCCCTCTCGATACCTTCATAAAGGATGCCCATGGTAGCTTTCTTGTCAGCATCCATCATTCTTAACACCCTGACCAAAGGGGCAGTGACCTCTACAACACTGGAACATCGAGACCAAAACCTCTTATTTGAGACTATGTCGTCCACTTTTATATCGGTACTGGACTTCGAGAGGCGGTCATTTAACCACTCTTCACAGGTAAACAATCTCTTTAATGTACCTTCAGATTCCCGAATAGAGTCCACAACTAAGTAATCGGTCATAAAGTGGGTTATGGCAGGCCTGATTATCTCTTTTTTCTTAGAGTGTTCTCTAAACAGAAATAAAATTTTAGAGTGGTTGTATATAAATCTCGACACTAACCTTGCTTCCTTTAGAGTCTCCTTCACAGTTTTGATCTCACTGATCTCCTTTAACATAAGATCGATGTTGTGTGCAGCACACGGGGTCCATACTAGATGCTTCATCTTATCCATCAACTTGCTGCCTGCAGAAACACATGCACGCGCATTGTCCGTAACAAACTGGACTACATGCTTATCTCCCACCTCCTCAACGATCTGATCATATAGTCGTACGTAGAAGTTTGCATCCTTCTTCGTCCCTGATACGTTTTTGCTAGACAAAAAAACAGTACCTTTTAGGGAATAGGCCAAGAAGTTTAAAAACTCCTTTTTGCTAACTTTATTCAACCAACCATCACTCATGAGAGTAATGCCTGTCCTTGGCCAACTCTGTTTATATTCTTCAATCCACTTTGTAATTTCCTCCACTTCTTCATCTAATATTGGCCCACTAAGCTCATATACCATCGAGGGTTTTACCCTGGGCCCGGCTCTCTGGATTGCATTGACCATAAGTGGAAAATATGGGCTATTGGCTGCATCAAAGGGAATACCTTTATTGTAGAACCATTTACCAACATATCTCCCCGACATGTTTCTTGTACTTTTAACCATGCCTTTTAGGGTCATCTGTTGTAACTTAGGCTTTGAGAGAAATGGGTCTATACGACTATGACCTGCAATACTGGCACTCCTAAGTAACCTAGAAACAATTTCTTCAACGTTTAATTCTTCTTGGTACATATTGCCACCAACTCCTCCATACATATTTGAGTTAGGCCCGCCATACATGCTCAAGCTGGGCCCGCCATGCATGTCTGAGCTAGGCCCACCATGCATGTCTGAGCTAGGCCCACCATGCATGCCCATGTCATAACCACCAAGCATTCTAAACTCGCGTTCCCTCTGGTATGTTTCACGTAAACTCATTATTGTGGCCATCTCCAAGTCATTATTATATTGCTCTTCTAGATCATTCCTGCTTGATATCGTATATAAACTAGCTATCTCCTCATTCATCCTCTGCCTTGTAATTTTTTTCCTTTGGTAGCCTTGAGAAATGACGTCATCTACTTTCTTACATTATTAGGGACACTATTGTACGTAGAAACATCTCCCTTAACCCTTGTAAAGTGTTGCTTGAACCTATGTACCTCACTACTTATCACTTTTTGGCAGTAATTACAAATAATTTTGTCTTTTTTGTTGGGATCAAGTCTGACCCCATGTTGCTGTGCAGGGTCTTCTGCAGATCTTGCCATGGTTCAACTTTAAAATGTAAAAGGTTAAAAATTAACTTGACTTTGAACATGAAAAATAATCACCATGTGTAGTGATAATATGTAGGGGTAGTTCATGAAGTTATATTTGTTAGTTAATGCAAAATACTTCTATTGACAAAAATATTTTAATTCTTACTAGGAAAAATAATTTATTTATGCAACATTATAGATAAAAATAGCCTATATCAGCTACTACATAAAGAACAATATATTTACATTGATATAATATCAATAAAAAAAATATTTACAATGGTATAGTAATTCACAATGCCAATACATATGGACTTGTCATAAATTTTTATTTCGACAAATATGAATTAGTTCCTACTGAGAAAAAAAAATATTTATGCAACATTATAGATAAAAAAAAGTCTGTATAAGTCACACATGCCAAATATTCATACATCTCAATTACAAATATGCAAGATAATATAGTAAAAAAAGCAAGCTCCAAACATGCCTACAACGCAATTATCAAGAACATACATTTTTTGCATTAAAATTTTATTAATAAAATTGATAATTGCAAGCTAATATAATTATCATACATGATATTTTACAATGATATTCACTTTAATTCCTCATGATAATATAGTTTAACAACATGTATTTTTTGCATTAAAATTTTAAAAATTAAAAATACTTTTTTAATTCAAAACTGCATTAAAAATATAAAACAGTTTAACAACATGTATTTGTTAATGTATTTTTTTACATTAAGAATAAATTAAAAAATATAGTTTTGCATTAAAAATATAACAACATGCCACGATTTTTTTACAATGATATTCACTTTAATTCCTCATGATAATACAATTTAACAACATGTATTTTTTGCATTAAAATTTTAAAAAATTAAAAAATACTTTTTTAATGCAAAACTGCATTAATACAGTTTAACAACATGTATTTGTTAATGTATTTTTTTGCATTAACAACAAATTAAAAAATACAGTTTTGCATTAAAAATATAACAACATGCCACGATTTTTTTACAATGATATTCACTTTAATTCCTCATGATAATACAGTTTAGAAATTTAAAAAATTAAAAATACTTTTTTAATGCAAAACTGCATTAAAAATATAATACACTTTAACAACATGTATTTGTTAATGTATTTTTTTGCATTAATAACAAATTAAAAAATGCAGTTTTGCATTACAAATATAATAACATGTATTTTTTTGCATAAATAATCTATCAACACGCAACTTTTTGAACTAGAAATTTAACAATAAAAATAAAAAAAATTGTTTAATTCCTCATGATAATCAAAAATAATTTTTCGAAAAATCATGATTTCTCAAAAAAATTGATCATAAATAAATAAATAAATAAATAAAAAACCAGTTCTTTACAAACATCAGTCATTCAATCTCAAAAATCAATCTCAATTTGAATAAATCAAATAAAATTGAATACATGAG